GGAGGGTTTGAGGTGTGTGTTTATTTAGAGAATTTGATGCATTTTAAATGGGGGAAGTGGAGGAGGAGAATGGAAAACTCTTTTGGGATCTTGTCTTTGGAAACAAAATCAAATGCTTCTTTTCTAGTCCTCTTGAGGATATATAGTATCATCCACCACACCACTATAAATATGGTTTAATTTAATACATATTTTATAAAAAAAATACATTTTATTTAAATAATATTTTTATAAAAATGAAATAAAATCATCTTCGATTATATATACTATATTATAAAGCATTTGATAAAAAAATTAAAAAACCATTCTTTATACATGAAGTATTGTATATTGATGTATATTACTTAAAATTCAATATTACAAGTAAATTATATATAAGTACAACTTATTAAAAATTATCAATGTTTTTGCTTCAAAAGCTATGTTAACATAGAAAAAATAAGAGAGAAGGTGAGATACTATAAATTTTAAAAAGAAAATCTTTAAAACTCTATGTATGATAAAGAAATAATATTTTAATACTTTTTCATCAATGAGATGTATTGAAAATAAATTTTTAAAAGAAAAAAATATTATTTTATTTAACGTATTACATATTTTAGTAATATAGTTAATTGTAAAATTGCTAAAATAAAATATTTATTTGAATTAGAGAGGGGGAGGTTCATTTGAGAAGTAAGAAAGGATGATAGTCCTTCATTTGATCAACATTTGCGGCTTTGACTGTTAAGTACCAGATAATTCCTTGCATGGGTATGCAAAAGATAGAGGGATAGTTTCGTAACTTTTACAAATAGACGGCAAACGGGTTTATATGTGAACTCATGTGATACACATATGAACCATATGCTCACATGTTAACTTGTTAATTAGTTCACATGTAAACTATTTAACTTATTCATATATAAACCCACAAGTTCATATATGAACCAGTTAATTAGTTCATATGTGAATCAGTTAAAATAGTTCATATGTGAATTATACAAGTTCACATATGAACATATAGTTTATATGTGAATCACATAGGTTTATATATAATTTGTTTACTTTCTATTTGTAAAAGTTACGGAACTACCCTCTCCATTTTTCGCATAACCGTAATTATTAATCAGCCAAAGCCGTAATTATTGACCAGTCAAATCCGATTATGACCGTATAAATGTTATGATCACTTCTTTACTTTTCAAATATTTACCAATTCTCAAAATTACTTTTGGATATATATACATATATATATATATATAGAGAGAGAGAGAGAGAGAGAGAGAAAGAGACGAGTTATTATGCAACTATTTACATTTGTACAATCAATACAACTCAATTTCAACCGTCCCATTTAATTTGATGTACATGTGATTTCATAAAAGTTTTGATTGTATAAAAGTTTTGATTGTTTTCAAATATAAAGTATTGATCATTAATTAATGAACACTAGTCATCTTTCATAAATATTCAAATCATAATAAATGAACTTTCATCACTTTCATAAATATCTCAATTGATTGGGTTGTATTGGTTGTACAAATGCACATGGTTGCATTTGAAATATACCCTATAATATATATACATACACACACACATATACTAGAAGGAAACTCGCGCAATGCAGCGAAATACATCTCGATTTTAATGTTTTGTCTTATTCATTGTTTATGTCGATGTTGTAAGTCTGTTTTATGTGGTCTTGGAAAAGCAATAATATTTTTATTTTTAAATAAAATATAAATTTAAAAATATCTTAAAATTTTGAATATATATTAGTATCAAATTAACTATTTAAAAGTTATTGTTTTCTATAATTTTATTTAATTCAAATTTTTTATGATAATTTAATTTAGACTTAATAACGAAATAATTTGTTTTTGCTTTAATAATACAAGTTTCTATATAAACTATAATTAAACATTCTATTATGACTCAATGATTATCCTAATTATATTTTAGTTTTTTTATATATAAACTTAGATGTTTCTTCTTATTCGATAATGTTTATTACACAGATTCAAATATGGAGCTTTAATAAGTTGTACTTAATTGTAATCTTGAATTTTTAAGTAATATGCATCAATAAACAATATTTTATGCATAAAAAATGGTTTTTAAGAGTTTTTATCAAATATTTAATAATACAATATAGATAATTCAATATACTTTTAGAAATAGAAAAGATATTTAATTTACGATTCATAAACTAGTTTTATTTTTATGTATAAAAGTTTGAAAAATAATCTAAAGATAATAATATAATGAGCTAATTAAAAATTAAAACTTATTATAAAAAAATTCAAAAAACATGGCCACAAGGTCGTTGAGTTAAAAGGTAAGTGTCCATTAGTAATTAGAACTAGGGATGGTGGTTTGCTTCGATTCAGTAAGAAATTCGATTCATCTGATCCAAACGGGGACGGGGATTTCTTGCTAAAACAGGTTCCGGGTTCAGGGTTCTCCGATAGACTCAAACCGGGGATGGGGCCGGAGATTCCCGGTAGAATCAACTAACAAATATTAATGGGGTTTGACCGGAGATTGACCGAATTTTGACCGAGACGAGATGTTAATCCCCGTACCCGCCAAGGACCAAGGCCAGGGCCAGGGGATGTTACTACAAACCGGGGTCGGAGCCGGAGATTACAGAACCCGTCCCGTTGCCATGCCTAACCAGAACCACCTATGAGCGCCAACTATCATTGTTGCCATCAAGATTTTCAATCTCATATACTTATAAGATTCCATGTTTGAATCAAGAATATGAAATACATAATCTCATTCTTGAATTTGAATACATATTAGAACGGTATTCGTACAAAGTAGCGAGATACATCTTTATTTTAATGTTTCGTTTTATTTTTTTGTCTCTATTGATATAGTACGGTTTATATAGTTTTGATAAAGATAATGTGTTTACTTTTAAATAAAAATATATTTGAAAAAATATATCGATATTAATATCAAATTAACTATTTAAAAGTTCTCAATTTTTGTACAATTTCTTTAATTTAATTTTTTATTATAATTTAGTTTATGTCTAATAACGAAGTAATTTATTTTTTGGGTTTAACAATATAATTTGTATAAGGATTATCTTTCTGTTAGAACTCAATGATTATTCTAATTATATTTTAAAATTTTTATATTTAAAGTAAGGTATTTATCATGTATTTGATTATGTTTATCTGCAGTTTGTTATACAAATTCAAAATAAAACTTTAATAAGTTGTACTTACGCAAATTTACTTGCAACCTTAAATTCTAAGTAATATGCATTAAGAAACAATAATTTATGCATAAAAAATGATTTTTAAGAGTTTTTGTCAAATGGTTTATATTATATATATATATATATCGACATTTACAACTGTAGAAAATAGATAAACGAGATAATCTGTTTCAGTTAAAATTTACAACTAATCAAAGAAATCTATATATCCAATAAGGGAAATCTACACATTATTTCTATTTTCATCATTAATGAAAAACACTTAAATTATAACATGTTTTTATTAATCTACATATTTAAAATGTCGTTTATCATAAAATAATTTATAAGTTCGAATAAAAAAAATCAACATGCATTATATATTGTTAATATTTTATGAAAAAAATATATTATTTTTTAAGCGGTTAGAACTTGGACTCCTCATATTTTATTATTTAATTTTTTATATTAAAATGATTAAAATAAAATTTCTAAGACAAAATGAGTAAAACGTAATGGTGCCTTACCTACTCATCACACTTTTCGTTAGAGTACTTAACTGACTTTATTTTATTTATGAAGATGCAAAACAAGTAGCACCACAAAAGTTGGATCATAAACATGTATGGTAACTCATGATTGATTTGAGTTTGGTTTCAAAGGTTAAAAGTACCTGAAGGTTCAGGTTTAAATCCAAGAAAAAATAAAAATCCCCTTGTGGCTACAGAGATTCAAATGTGGTGACTTTGTACTATCTGTAAAGTAGGTGGTCGCCCTGAGATTAGTCCGCTTGCATAGCGGGTTGGATATTCAGGTTAACAAAAAACATGTATGGCTTTGTTAAATGTATAAATTAAACAAGATGTTGTCTATCCGTTTGCAATAACAAGAGTTTCATATTATATACCTTAAAACATGTGTATTAATATGTATTAAGAGACTGTTTGACAATTGTTGAATGATTTGGTATAAAATGATTTAGAGACACTTATGATATAAGTGGAAAATGAAATCTAATTGCTTAGTAATTGTTTAGAATGAAAGAATGGTGTTGAATGGTTAAGGTAGATCGAAATAGAAAGTCACTCAAGGGGTTTTAGAACCATTAAAAGACAGATTTTTTTTGCCAAACAAGATTCGTCTCTTAGGGAGTGTTTGCTTCACAGAATGAAATTTGACCATGCGTTTGATTTGTAAGAATTGGAATGATATTTCTCAAAAGAATTGAAACAATCATCTTTGTTTACACTATCGCACCCATCACCTCACCCACACCTTACCAACCACACATGTCACTACTGTCGTCGTTATAGCAATCGCCCTACCCCTACCTGAACTCTGCCCCCATCACCCCAACCCAACAATCCTGCCCCACCCTTGCTCCATAGGTTGGGTTTGGGGAGGGGGCAGTCAGGGTGGGGCAATGGGTGGTAGCAAAATATTTAATTTAAACAACAAAATTTCATAGTTATCACATAAGTTCCAAAAGCAAAATTACACCTTTTAATAAAGAAATATTAGGTAATAATATGTTACATGTCCATTTCAAATGATTAGTTACCTATGTTGTTATCACATAAGTTCCAAAAGCAAAATTACACCTTTTAATAAAGAAATATTAGGTAATAATATGTTATTATGTAATAAAAGCAATAAAGTACTTATTTTT